GGAATCGCCAGCGGAGGGTCTGTATTTGGTCGATGGAGGGAAGAGGGTTTTTAGCCTGAGAAAGATCTTTCTGGTAACTGATTCTTGATTCACGTTGTCCATATCGTCGGAAGGCTCCCTCTGGGGAAGTGGAATTGCGAAGTTAGGGGTCGCATTTGCTCAATTCTGGTCGGTGGTGGACGTACCTGCCTTGAGTTCTACACAACTACTATTTTCGATAGCTGAATTTGGGTAGCCGATTTTTTCTGCGAATTTCCTCTCCACCCACCCTCCCACCAGCTCGGCAGTTTTTTTGGGAGTACAAGAAAAATCGAGCAATCGTTGGGAAAAGAATAGGAAAAAGACTCAAATGGGAAAAAGTCCCGAATGGGAAAAGAACGTAGGATGAAGTGGGATGGGGAAGGGGAAGAGATCGTTGCAGTGGTGCTTTTTGGGGAGAGGGTCGTATTTTGATAATTTGCGAAAGTTTTTTCGAAGGCATGCCCTATTCAGCGACTACTTTTTCGAGTGGAGGACATCACCCATTCACAGTGTCCAATCTCATCAGTGTTCTCGCACACGGCACATCGTTGTTGGGGAATCCCCAATAGGGGGGGTCGTATTTGGCCGCCAGGAGAGGGGTCGTATTTGGGCTGGGAAAAATTTATTTTGATAGTTGATTTTTCTCGCTTCACGGACGTTGTAAAGGGGGGGGGTCGTATTTACGTTTTGGCGTTGTAGGAGCGGTGGTTGACTTTTCGTGAGTTGACTTCCCTGCTCGACGGCTCGATTCGATGAGGAGGAACAGAGGGCCAGGAGGCGGGAGGAGTAAGGGGGACGGGGAAGGGGGTCGTACAGACTCGACTAAAATCCCCAACCAATAATGTGCCCTGTTGTCGCAGCCAGTTGGGTCGATTTCGAAAGGGATGGATCGACCCCGCCTCCGGCGTTTTCTCCACTGCTTGTTTTCTTCCCGAACCGATCGCTAACCGATCACTATTAGTAGAAAAGGCAGCAGGGGCGGGCTCACTCAACCCCTTCTGACACTGTCCCGACTGATTGCATGTTATCTGTACGTGAACGGAGTTACCCAGTCAATACATATCCACTTCTTCATGGATTTCCATTCTGGCGCAAGCTTAGAACCTATTCTCACCGTAATCAACATATGCATAGTAGTCGATGGTAGCGGTAGTAGTCGGTGCTTCGGTTGTGGTACTAGTAGTTTTTATAGTGGTTTTGGCTATTTTAGCAGTAGTGACAGCTAATTTCGGTTTCGATGAGGTAGAAGCAGCAGCTGAACCGACTACAGTAAGATGACAGAACAACAGCATTGTGGGGATCCAAGCCAGGAGCACCGCCGAAAAGATTTTTGGCCGTTTTGTTGCCTTTTCCTCCATAGACGTGCAAAACCTGAAATACGTTCTTATACGTGCGTCTAGAAAGTTCATATGATCGTGCATATCTACTCCACTATTTAACCTTATCGAATGTAAGCAAAGCAAAAAAATCGATTAAAAAAAGTCGTTCAAAGAATTTGAGCGTAGTAATAGGTTGAATGAAGAGTCCTTCAATGTCTAGAGCAAACTGCAGGAAAAGTAAAGACGTATCCCAAATGGTTTTGCCCGGGTACTGGAGCGTGTCCTGCGAAGTTTTTGCAGGCGAGGCTGCTACGACTCTGAAAGTAGTTGGCCCGCAAAGGTTCAAATTCTTCTCGGACCTGTTCATAATTATGAGTTCCAGTTGGACGCGCGTACATCCCGTGATGGGGAAGCTAACACCTGCGCTTTACTAAGGAGGTAACTTCTCCGCCATGCCCCAGCGTCAATGTTTGGATTCTTCAGCTATTTTCTGCGAAGTTAGGCACTGTACCTGTCAGACACCAGAAAGTAAAGGTGACTTGTCGCTCAACATTCTGGGGCGAACTTAATCATCAGAAGCTTTACAGCTTCTCCAGGCTGCACCCGCATAAGTAATGATCCCTGCAAACGATAGTGCGTGCGGCGTAGCGCGGACTGGGGCGCTGCGCAGGCGACATCTTTCCACCAATGATGCCATCCTGAGTCCGCAACACATAGACAGAAAGGCTATTCCGGTTGCGCTCTGCCCTTGCCCCTTCGTACGATTTGCAGGGATTATGACTATCTATCAAGCTTCTACGCAATATATGTTGTAGGGGGAACTTCTCCCAATGGGCACCATATGACATGTCATAGTGACAAAAAGAACCGAGTGACGGCCGGCGAGTTTCTACCTTTTCATAAACATCAGAGGGTCTTTTTGATGGACACTATGGCTGGGAACCGGGGCTAGGCCGCTTGAGTGCTTCAGGATCTCCCAAAGAGAAGAGTCCGAACCACAATCAGATCTGCATGGAAAAACCTCTCTTTATGAACTCCAGGAAGAGGCCATCCTCCTAGAAACAACTCATAAAGCTCTGATTCCTTGTCACTTCATGACAGCACCAAAGTCGTAGACGACATCTGAGAGGTTCATGGATCTTGACTGGGGACTACTACGGTACGTACTGCCATTGGGGGATTTTAGCAACGTATGACCCTCCCTCTAAGCTTCCTCTCTGGTACGATAGCACCTCTTCACCATTCTTCCCAATAACCCATCCTACCTGCCGCTCAATACCATAAATTTTACCAACTTCCTAGCACACATTTCCCAAAAGCTGTTGGACTTTCAACCCGAAGGTCGATGGGGTGGGAGAAATGGGGATGGGAGCGAGCAGGACGACGCCCCGGAAAGTATAGCTGTTTCTTGCTAACCATTAGTCACAGGTCTTACAATTACCACCTAGGTACCTGGAAAACAAAAAATTCGACAGATTGGATTGGGACCGGCTATCTCTTTCCTGTGCAATCTTTAGAAGAAACGAATCAAGAAGCTGCCCCGTTGCCCTAGCTATCGGTGGTGATCAGCTGTAGAGTGGAGATCTCGTCCAAACAAAGTAAATCCAGGTTCGAACACTTGTTCACAGTGTCGCGAGGCTTCCCTTTAGCCTGATGAAATGGTCCAGCAGATTACCGTTCATTCGGAGCGCTGAAGACGTGTTACTGGGGCTTCAAATATTCCTGATAGGCTCCGTCTTATCACTAGTACGACTGAACCGAAGGCAGAAGACGTCCAACCCAGAGGGTATGCCTTACATCAGATTTTTCTAGAGAAAAAGGCAATATACTGTGTACAACGTGTTCTAGAGAGGAAATCTGAACTCTGGCGTCGTGAATGGAGAACGAGAAGAAACTGAGCGAAGCAGTAGGTCATCCAAATCCAAGCATTTCCACCTGCTCAAATCAAAGATCGCCGGTTTTCAGAGCGACACACCTGGACAATCATCACGTTTGTGACTAGAAAACTTTGCTCTTATCCACAGCTATGGTGAATACACTGTAATAGGTCTCTTAAAATGACCTGAGTATCGATGTGCCATAGCACGAAACATCAAAAAAAACTTTGAGAAAAAAACACAAATATTCATCAAAAACAACAGCTGAAGACTTTGAGAAAAAACACAAATATTCATCAAAAACAACAGCTGAAGAACTCGGGCAGGTTTTTCAAATCATAGTTTCAACACTCACGAAGCAGATAAGAAGCAGTCGAATTTCAATTCCTGTCTCAAGGCAAGTCAACCTCGATAACCCGTTAGTTGGAATCTCTCTCTTCTACAACGAGTCTGCTCCGCAGTCTACTGGTTTGCTTCACTTTCGAAGCCCCGGAGTGAGTGACGAGGGAGCTGAAACCCACATAAACCGAAGGGAGACGTACCTGTAGAAGTTACCCACCAAACCTCAAAGGTTAAAAGAACAAAGCCTTCTCCCCTGATTGATCCCTTCTCAGGATGCGGTCCGCATTCTACTCTCTTGCAGAATCGTAGTGATGTGGTAGCGCGAGGCGGAAGCAAGGAGATGAAACCTAGGGTAACTACTTGCCTCGTTCCCGCGCACACTTGAGAGGAGAAAAAGGCAGCTGCTGCGGACGCATTCTTCCCATACCGATCAGCATCCCAAGAGGTAAGTGTACAGTGATCTTCAAATGTGTTGGGTTCACCAAAAATACCCATCCTGTTGGAACAGCGCCAAATTCTGTCCCCAAAATTCATCGTTTCGAACCATTCGCTTCCGGCTCCTATACGACACCAGAACGCACCACTCCGAGCTGTTGGAGGTCAACTGAGGCAATCCTCCAGTTTGCCAGCGTTAGTGTTGTTTTTATGGTGTGCTGCGATTAATTTGCAATTGCACTGCCACACGTATTGACGGTTCGCTGCGTTTCGTAATTTCGAATACGCGGGTGTTGCTTTATTAAACGTAGGCTTTCCAGCTTATGTAAGTGTTTTAGTATATGTTTCGTAATTTATTTGCCTAGAGTAAGCCCTTTCGGTGCTAACGTATTTGGGGGGGGGACCACGCGGCTCGCGGCGAGTGATGACTCATCGACTCTTCTGCTTCCTCCTCGGCAAAATAGAAGTTAATTTATATTTAGGACGAGGATATAACATCATCTTAGCTATACTCAATTGTTAAAATAGTCAGCGCTGAAAAGTGTGAGGAAAAAATTGTAGGCTGGAAGGTTCTACTGCAAAAGATTGCTGCCTGCTTGTTGTTTACTGTTATTGTTGACTACGACAATCCAAACACTTTTTCAGCATTCTATGGGGCAGGCTTCTTAGGCAAATTCCCGCTGATGTATCTGCTTGTTTTTAATTTCCATTTGGCGTGAATGGCGCTTCAAGTATCCTATTAGGTGAAGAGCGATGGTCATCACTCTTCCGCGAGCGCGTGGTCCCCCAAATTACGTTAGCCACCAGCCCTTCGCCGGTGAGTTTTTGGGATCTTGGGTGTTACATATCTTCTTTGGTTAAGTTGTGGGAATTCATGGCTTTCCAACTTCTTAAAACCAGTTCACATACTGCCTCATTTGAGCAGATTGGTAGGGATGATTGCAAAGTTTGTCGTTCCGAGGTATTTATAATGTTTTTTTTCACCCTTGCAGTTGTGAACAGTGTTATGTCTGAGTCGCCGCCGTTGCCACCACCACCTCATGACTTCACCGATCACAAGCAACACATGAAATGGCTGGTGAGACTTTTGATTTGTTTCTACAAAAAAGCTGTAGCTTAGGTCCATTGCTTGTTTAGAGCTAAGAAATGGTGTCACATAGCGAGTTAGTTACGAGAAAATTGTTCTGCTGCGTTCATACTTTGCGTCAGCGTATAGCAGCGCTTCGAGCGTATTTTAACGCCAGCGACTAGGAAAGTATCATAAGTTCAGCGTATGGCAGCATAGAGGAGCGCTTCGAGCGTCTGGAAAAGCATGGATATCGATGTAACGTTTCCAGCGTCCAGCAGCGCATGCCAGCATACAGCGGCGTTTCAGCGGGCAGTTCTGCTCAGTTGAAATTGCCCGCGGAAACGCTGCATTGGCGTCCGCTAGATCAATTTCCATGTTTTCCTGAACGCTGGCGTGCAGAGTATGAACACAGCCTTAGTAATATTCCATATCACTTCGTGCAATATCATTCTGCATGGGCACATTAGTAGTTTTTCAGGTCGAGCGTGAGAAATATGCGCGAAATACTGTTCCTATGATACCAGCTGATTTTTCCAGTAAGTTCTGCACCTTTATTTTTACAACGGATGATTCATCGTGTGGATTCACTGTACTATTTTTTGTCATGTACAATTTAGAAGTAAGCCGTCATTTTTCGGTGCATAAACTATCCCAGCATTATTTAGACTAGGTGGTCACTACTCGCGTTTATTCTTGTTCTAGTATGATAACGACTGTTTTATGCCGCAGCTCGTGCTCCGAAAGTAACATAAGAATGCAGAGTTATGCGCAAAAGTCTTTGCCGTAGCGGTACTCAGTCCGCACCTCTTCTTTATCGAATGTGTGCGCTAACCAATGTAGCATGCGTAACAGGTAGCCACTCGTCGAATAAACGTAAGGTGCAGGTTCGAGTCCCGTCTGCTGCCAATATTTTTGCCCAAAACTGCATTCTTGTGATAATTCAGTTCCAAGCTTTTTTTTCATTTTGTTATGAATTTCAGAAGGATCACACAGCAAGAGCATTTCGTCCACTGTTCTGCAGAGAGCACTGGGTAATCCTTTCGTACCGATCGGCATGGCTGCTACTGTTGGATGTCTCGTTGGTAAGGTTTATCGCGATTGTGGAAAGCAGTCGATAACCACTTATTGGTCCACAGTAATTATTATTATTACAATTCTGCTATCAATATCACCTACGCTCCCTTTAGTCATCGAGTTGCTCGAGCGGGCGCCAGTAATGATTCCATTTCACCCCGCAACGTGCCAGAGTCGCCTAATGAGTCCTTTTGCTCGATAGACACGATTAACTTTATACTATTCTCTTAGAGCTTTCACGAAGAAGTCTGACCATCGTGTAGGGGGGGGGTCGTTTAATATCTCGTGGAATCTAGTGGGTAATCGTTCTGGTCCAGCGGTCGTCCTCGAAACGCATGACGTGTCCGGTCACCTGATCTTCGAAACCTTGGCAAATGCGGCGGCGTCTCTGATCTTCGATCGTCGGCGGAGTGCGGAGCTCCGGATTCCCTCTCTCACTTGCGTGTAGCGGGAAACTCCGAGCATCGCCCTTTCGATGGCGCGTTGAATAACGCCGACCGCATGCTCATCCTGCTTTCGTAGAGTCCAAGTCTCTGAGGCGTACGTCAAGGCAGGAAGGACCGCGGAATCAAAGTATAATCAATAATATCATATTATTTTGCGCACAATGTTAGCATAATCTGTATGGGCGCTGTTCGGCGACTGGAGGAGGGGGGGGGCATTTTGTACCTTCATCGCTTTACTAGTTCCGGTTCACAAGTTCCGCTCTGGTGAGACCTGTGAACACTTGTGAAGCTGGAGCAAGCTCGTCTAGCCACCATGGTAAAAAAACCCGTCAACTCTTGCCTTGCTCATGAAAGAGCTCTCTAGTTGGGTCGCCCTTCCCCCCCCCCCCCCGGTCGGGCCGAACTTTGCGCCTCACGGGCGCATGAACAATTAAACATTCCAGTCCCTGCGTAAGCGTTTATTTCTTGTGTACTCACGTTGCTTCACATTATTTTACTTGTCATTTTCTAGGCATTGCTTTCTGCGGACTGTAAGGGGCGGAAAGCCTTATCAGGCACCAGCTGATATATTGCGTGGTGGGTCGTTGTGCAAGCTCAAGGATTTCCCACTGTTCGCGTGCTTTTGATCTAACGGAGCAATCCTATCTTTGGGCGGGGGAGGTTTCCTTTCCACACCTGTCAAACATTTCCATTTATATTTTTAGTTATGCTCAAGGATGAAAGAGACTTAAAGGATATCCTCTTTTGGGAGTACGTTCATTTTTGGCGAGTGTGGGGGGGGTTTTTACATGAAGTAAATGGCTCTTCTGGAAAGATGGGGTTCAAAAGCGGGCGTGAACCTAGTATTACTGTGATGCAAAGACCCAACAAAAAAGTGATCTCCCTCCACCCTGGAGCCCCTTCCTTGCAAGCTCTTGCAACTCTAATCCCCGAATGATTTTGCACCAGAAGTCCTCCAGATGTCCTACCCTTGTATCACCACGCTTAGTGACTACCATGGTGGCTCCTTTCAGTCATTTTCTCTTTTCAGGCTTGAAACCAGAAGGAGTGGGAACTCCTCCAGAAGATTATGCAAGCTCATTTACGAGTGAAGTGAACAAGGCGTAGTTTTGTTTATTCGTTATGGACTGCTGTAAACAACATGTTTGAGTCCTCCTGTACACATCCTTTCATATTATTAGACTATAGCTAGCCAGATTAGGCTCCCACTTTCACTAGCCTAGAATAGGCTTACCATTTGTGTTTATTTTCTTCCCCCGTGTTAGCTGTTTTTAAATATTTTGCACCATGCATAGATTTCTATATATGTTTTTTTGATAAAGTTTTATAGAAAATCAGTAAGACTAGTTGTTGTTATCGGTATCATTACCATACTTATCTATTGCACATTTACGGTGGTCTGCATTTACAGTGGTCTGCACAGGGAATGTGATTATTTGCGTTTTTTTTTACTCCAGGACAGAATGGCAGATGATGAGCAAGAGACCTATAAGCTATGGCGAGTGAGGAAAACCATCATGCAGGTTTACTTATGGACTTCTTCTAACTTACTTTTACTCCCGCTAAGGGAATTCAGGCGCTGTTCGACTTGAGGGACATTTTGATCTCTCGCTGGTGGTTGTCAATGTTAACCAATAGGTTTTGCCCCTGCAAACTCTTGTGACTGCTAAATAGTACAAGTGAGCCACTTTGGACACAATAGTTCACTGATCAACCCAAAGTGAGGTGCACTTCGCTGAGCATCATTAGGTCACACACACCCCCCGCCCCTCCTCCCACCGGGCCGAACTACGCCAAAATTCATTCGAGTGAAGGTTTTGTAATTGTGAAGAGCAGCATTCTGAATAAATTCATTCTCGTTATAGATGTGTCACGATCGTGGATACTTGGTAACGCAGGAAGAATTGGATCAAACCCTAGAAGAGTTTAAAGAGATGTTTGGCGATCGTCCCAGTGAAAGGAAGCCAGCTCGTAGTGATCTCACCATTCTTGTTGCTCATAACGACGACCCAACAGGTATTTCGGTGCTATGATGATGATTATCATGAAAATTGTCGCACAAATGAGCACAAAAAACTTTGTTATTACTTCAGCTTCGTGGTTTGTAGCTTCATTAGGTTTCATACATCTCTAACTTGATGGCTCGACTTGTTGGTGAGATGTGGCGAAAATGCAAAACGTCCAAACTCCCACCCTGCCCCCAAACCGCTCCCTTCCTTCATTAGTCGAGATCTGTCATCGATTTTATCGTTAGTGATATATGCCCTTTTCACCAAATGCAAAAACCCATTGATATAAATTCACCCATTACGCTTGTGGTGCTGACTGTGTTAAAGAACCTTCGCGACATGGTGGCATTCAAAGGAAGATTTATGCCGAACCACGACTACCCGTAACCCCTTCTAGGGCGCTTGCTTCCTTTCAGCTGACCTATTGGTTAACTGGTCGCACGTTGGCCTCCATCCAAGGCACGTCCTGTTGCTGGTGATTTTCGCAAAAACGGCCTCCCAAATTCTTTTCCTGTACGGCCGCGTCGCCTTCCCAACGATGTGCCTAGCGCGCATGAAACAGGAACCTACAAAAATTTTCTTAGGCCAAACATGATCCTCTTCCTGCAGCCAAAAATACCCCCGCACAATTCCCCCAATACGACGTGCCCTGCTTCCATGCCAGTTCATATACTTTTTGGGAGGGCATTGGAT